TTCACTATGTCATTGAAATAACTGTTATTTAAAATAAAAAAAGTCACCTAGAGAAGTGATAAGAAGTTGAAGCTTTTAACAAAACACATGAAGGTTCTTTGTGCTGATATTTGGGTTTTTTGATTCATCACTCTGACTCTTTAATCCCATTATCTTTTTTCACTTGAGTTTGGCAAACTGGATTAACATAGTATTAATAAAGCTGCATCATGAAAAAACAGAGTGTGTAGTGTATTCAGTTCAGGTGGTTATATTTTTTTCTTTCAATTTAACAAAGCAATAAAATGCATCACTTGCTTGAACTACATTTTCATGAACTCAAGACCTTCCCAGGCATTCCTTGTTGGATTACAACTGTGTTGTCTTCTGAAGGCATAGGCAGTGGTGGTCAAATAAAAGAAAATAATGGAACTCCTTGAAAAATTAAAGTTTTAACTTTTCATTAATTCGGTTATTTTTCCAATATAACATTATTTTATAATTTTAAAATTTTATATAGAATTGAAATTATAATAAAATAAAATATTTAAAATTAATTCAAATAATATTATTGTTTACCTGAAAGTTAGCAGCACCTAAAATGTTGGGTTTATTTGTAAGCTTCATTCTTAGAATATATAAACAGAGGTTTTTACTTCTTTATTCAGAGTGTTTCTGGCACCTTCCCCACTTAATAATTTCCCCCTACTAACTCATTGTTTGCAATAAGATGGCTTCTTTTATTAATAATGAGTGGTAATATCAGCTAACTTTTATGTCTGTTACACAGACTTATAATTAGTTACCACTCCACCATTCCCATAATGAGATGATGGGAGAGACTCAGATAGATTTGTGTGAAGATATCAAATAGCAGCAAATATAGACTACCCAGCACAAGCTCAAGGTTGAGAGGAAATAGGATTGAATTCAAAGTAGTGTTACATAAGACTGTTAACCTATCCGTGCTTATTATGTGGCAGAAGAATTGTCTTGAAAAAGTAAATTGTGTTTAGCAACTTATGGATAGGTTAAAAACAGAGGGGTTTTACTGCCAAAGGAAAATAAAAAGTAATGGTCCTATGAGATGCAAGGAGCATCTTGTTCATAGATCAAGTGACCCTTAAGCTGAAACCTAAAATATTTGTTTAAAGTTTAATATTTGACGAAGGCAAGGGGTTTTTTTTTTTTAATCGTCGTATCTGTTTCAAGTCTGGAACCTTATCAGAAAGATCTCTTTCTTTGTGGAGATACTTTCAGTGTTTACTGTTTGTCAACTTCTATCCACCAGAAAAATGTTTTCTAGGTTTTTTTAGTTATCACAGTTAATGCACCTGTAAGAGCTTCTATCAGGTAATTTATAAAAAGAAAAAATTCCTAAATGATGTTTTTAAAAATTGACCCTAAAGCAAAATAATGTAGCACCTAAAAAGAGAGCAGACATAGGAAACTTCATTTTACTGTCTGTGTAGGATACTTGATTGCTGTATACCAATTATATAATTTCCTTTGACACTTGCATATTGTCTTTGAATTATAGAAAACAAATTATTTTTAAGACATATTCAAATAGTCAATTCAGTCATAAAAAAAGGGAACCAAGACATATAAGCCGATAATTGCATGTAGACCATAAAATAATTGAAGTCATCAAGAATTTTGTAATGAATTAACCATTTAAGAAAAAAAGAAAGAATTTTTTTCAAGTTTTGTGTCTATTTAGGAACAGGTATTTGAATGCAAGTTCTTGTCTACTGAAGAGACATTTTCCTGCTTGTTTGATGGGTTCTGAGGGAAGGGTGGTTTTCTTCAGCTTCTGGCCAAACACAACGTTAAAAACTTCCAACATGAGAGAATTGCTGATCAACTGTACAACATCATGGTCATGCTCTGCAATTACTGATATTTTTATCACATTCTTTTAAATGAGTAGGATATGAAGGTATAATACATTTAAGAATATAAATGAGCAGATATAAGAATTTTAGAGACTTTTGCTGTTTTCTAAATTTTTCATTTTGCCAGCTGCATTAATGAATTATAGCAGATGAATTTGAGGTCATTTTCGACAAAATTAAAAATTAATTTTTCATCTGAAACTTACCATCTCCTTTTTAGCAACAATGATCTCATTTTGACAAAATCCTGGTATATTTAAACTAAAATTATTCCGATACAGACAGTAGTTATGTTATTCTAATACACACAATCCTAATCAAGGATACATAATTTTTTTTTAATCAAACATGCTAGAAATAACATTTTTCTGAATATTGAGTTAGAAACATATTATGAGCATAATTGAATTTATTAGTATTCCCAAGAGACAATTATTGTTTCAGTGAGAACAAAACAGAGTCTTATTAGAGACACAAAAATACCATGTATCTGTTTGCCAAATATACCACTAAGCTGTTCACAAAAGAGCTGAATACTTATTAATAGCAGCAAAAGGACTGAATGCTAAGTATGATTATTGATGTGAAGTCAAAAAAAATGTAACTGGCTAGTATGAACACAATGATATGAAATGTATTTTTTAAATCCATCAGAGTTGATCTAACTGGTTTTAGTGAAGTATAATGCAGGATAATGGCTAATCAGCAAAGACTTGAAAAATAATGAAGTTAAAAATAATGCTTTGCTGGCCTAAAATATCAATTCCTTTTTTTCTATTTTTTGTTTGTTTGTTTGTTTAGTGGTTTCATTTTCAATATCATATTCAAGAATGTCACAAAGTGGCAAAACTCCTGTAGTTTGAATCTAATCACGATTGTTTTACTGCTTTTATTAATAGCAAGATTACCCAGCAATGAGTCAACATTCAGGGTCATTATCAGCAATGCAACAGATAAACCACAACATTAGATGCCACTGAGTCATTAATATATACATGCAAATATCCAAACAGTCTTCTATGCACAATCACAACATTTTCTAATGATAAGGCTCATGGTGCTGTGTGCACTTTTCATGGACTCCTAGAATGGCTTGGGTCAGAAGGTACATTAAATATCATCAAGTTCCAATTCACGGCCATGGGCAAGGATGCCACCCATTAGACCAGGATGCTCAAAGCCAAATCCAGCCTGGATTTGAACACTTCCAGAGATGGGACATCCACAACTTTTGCTAACCTGTTCTAGTGCCTCACAACTCTCACAGTGAAGAACCATTTTTCTCTTACTAAGTAATTATTTTCGGCCATGTGTGTAGTATTTATTTATTTATTTTCAGGAATTGCAGTAATTTTACGGCTTTATCAATAGTTTTTGAATGTGTATATGTCTATTTTTTCCTTTCCCTGCCTTTATATCAAGACACTAAACACTATTAAAAATCAGAATTTGTTTTCCACAGAATATTTTGTGTAAAAAGATGGTGTTTTGGATACAAAAATGGAAATTCTGGAAAAGTTTGGAAAGGCAAAAAATAGCATGTATTTAGATATGAAACATTTAGGTTATTCTTCAGGTTTATCTTAGATGTCAAGTTTTAAATCTTACTAGAATGCCTGGTTTCTCATCAATATGCATATCCTGAAATTACAAATTAAAAATCCCAAACTCTCAAGAAGTTGGATGTAAAGCAAGGCTGGTTTCTAATGAAAAACATTGCCTTTAAGTTCTGTAAATAATATTTCCCAAATGCTTTCTTAGAACAGCCTAGTTTCTCTAAATCAAATTGCCTTTTTATATCACAAAACAGCTCTGCTGGCCAAGCATGCATAGTCAACATGGCCAAAAGAAGGCTGGCTTTCCCTTTTTCTAGCTTTCCTTTCCCTGTATTTAGCCATTGTCTCTCCCCCAGTTTTTTCATCTGCAAGGTAGAGTACTTTGGTTTTTTACTTCTTTGCTCAGTTTTGTGCAGTCTCCCTTTTTATGGGCTGGTGCCTGTGGAGTCTCTAGAAGGAGGATGAGATTATTCCTCCTCCTTGTGATTTCTCAGGCTCTCAGATCCAACTGTTGGCTTCCAGCTCCGTGCTGTGCCTCTCACAAGGTCTTCTACCTGCTATGCTTTGCAGTCTCTGATCCATCTTTGGGAAGAAAATTACCTGTTCAGGGAAAAAAATGCTTTCAAACAGCCAAACCTGAATGGTAATGAAATCAGAAACTTCCTAGGAATTAGAGAGGGCTGTGCAGAACTTGCTGCAGCTCTGAAGATCACTGTCCTGGCTCAAAGCAAGTCCAAAAGTGAGGGCCTGTGTACAAGATGCTATGGGCAGGGGAGGATTTGCAGAAGAAGCTTTGTAAATCTATGTTCTCTCCTTCTTGGTCAATTTGAAGATTTTCTATTAAAAGGAAAAAGAAGAAAAAAACCAAAAACTTAGTCTCTTTTATATGCTAAAGACAGAAATTCTATTTAAGTTTTAAAATCTTCTGGTTTGTATTTATCAAAGCTGTGGCCAGCTCAGGTCTCATTACACCATTGCTCTGTGCAAGCTCACCACCTCCATTTGACTAGGCCACATTTGCAGGTATTATCATTGACTTGGGTATTGCTCCTGTTTTGCCATTTTCTCTCATGGGATAATTTAAAATCTGTTGTTCTTATCTTTCGAGAATGCTCAGGTTTTTCACTGAGTGATGCGTATCTCACATAGTATAATCTTTTCTTATTTAGTCTGAATTAAATCTCTATTTCCTTTCTTGTTTCTCTTCAAAATGCTGCTGTAATATTAGTTCCCTGAGTGCTTTTTTTAGTCTGTCTCTTGAGTTTCTCCACTGGTTCTTTCCTCTATCTGCAAAGAACACAATAAAAGTAAAAAACCAGAATATTTTAAGACATTTATGGGTTTATATATGAAAGAGATAGTTAATTCAGCATCCAGATTTGTTTCAGTTAGGGAGGGAATGGACAGATGAGTAAAAAAGCAAGTAAGCAATGAATGAGAAATTACTAAATATCAAGTTTTTTCAAGTTCTTCAGATATTTTTTCCTCAGGGTCTTGATGAAAAAGTTGTCTGAAATTATGATATCTAAGTAACTTTGTCCTTTTTTTTATGTATATACATTTTTAGGTCCGAACATGGATTCTTACAGTGGGATACACAACTGCATTTGGAGCAATGTTTGCAAAAACGTGGAGAGTCCATGCAATTTTCAAAAATGTAAAAATGAAGAAAAAGGTGAGAAGAAATAGACTTTTTTTTGTTGCCCTGCTAATACAATTTTCTAATTATTTTCATACCTCTTCTGGATGGCCAAAGCCATGCTGACTGGTCATGTATCACATTCAAAGATCCTGAATATTTTGATATTAGGGATTTTTGGTTTCATGTTTAGTCTCTCAGAGTTGGAGTCAAGAATCAGCCCTCCAGTCTTTAAGAGGTGGACAGTGGGGTTGGCTATAAAATGTCAAAGTGAATTTGGATCTCTGCTCGCTCTTAGTATGTTGCTTCAGCATCCAGAGGTCTACTTCTGGTAGATTTTTTAATTAAATGTTTTCTGATTATATCTGTCTAAGATGTGGATGTTACCTGAGGATTTCTCATGGATTGGTAGGAGGAGGCAAGAGATAGTGCTGCTTATAGCTTCCTATTTCTAATTAATATTGAAATTGCATAAGTTTACTCTAAGACTGGTCAGAATTGAACCACAATAGTTGTCTCTGTCATTTTTGGTACAGCACATTTTCTGTAAAGCATTAGGCTCAGTTTAGGAGCAGTGCAGCTCTTCATGATATTTTTCCCATTAAGCCTATTTTCATACATGAAGTACTTTTTATGAGATGGTTTTATTAAAAAATTGGAAAAACACTGAGTAGAAAACATTTTGCTGGTAGAAACATTAGAAGAAATGTTCATGAAACAGAAAAACAAAATTAATATTTTTATAGAATGAGAAGTGTCAAGTGTAGTTCCTATGTTCACCTGAATAGTTTTAATCTAATAATCAATAACAAGTTACATATAACCAAATTAAGTAGAAAAATGTTCCAAAACCTTGTCAGAGTCCTCTTTCTTCACTATGTGTGGTCATAAAAGATCTCTGTTGTTAATTTTTATTTTGTTAGCACTGTGTTATTTTTCCACAACTGCAATATGTAGGGAGTCTGTCACAATAGGATGCATCATTCCCTTAGAAAGAATGGACTTTAGATAGACAGGGAGAGAGTTAACTCAGTTTCTAAGATTTATGTCTGAGGTTATTAAGGAATTACATGCTGTGTGTGGAACTGGATCTATTACTCTGGCACCACAACACATCCACTTAGAGCTTCCCCCTCCTATTTGGTCATGTCAGGTTTGCTCTATTGCGCTATTTCATTATCATTCATTGTTAAAAAAAAATTAATAAATACAAAATATCTTAAAGCTAACTAAAATTATAAAGAATTTCTATACCAAAACCAGGATGCTCTGGGTGGAGTGAAATGGAAACCCTCCCCTTTTTGCACGTGTGCAAAGAGCCCACTGTAACATATCAGTTTATACTACCAGAGTATTTTATTTCTTTTTTTTTCTTTTTTTTTTTTTTAAAGATCTTACACTTCCTATGTTAAACACTTCCTTTTTTTAATAAAGATAAGCCAGGATTTTACCTTGCTGAGAAACAAAATTTTACATTGCAAGTATTTTTTTACTGTTGGTACAAATCTTTTTAAATTAGTGAAGTTACACAAGACACTTCAGTCTAACACATAGGAGCATTAACTTCATGACCTTTACTATCCTCAGAATTTTATAATTTCTCCAATACATACTATTTCAGATAGGAATGAACAGGTACTGCAATGGACTGTCACTGAGCTTTTGCTTCTTTTTTTTTTTTTTTAAATTACATTTTAGATCTGCAAGTTGCTACTCAATATTAAATTTCACTGTCTGTTAAATAAATTCTTTATTGCCTCAAATTCTTTATTGTCCCTGTTCTTCAAGGGCCTCATCACCAACTGCAAGTTGCAATTGATTATGCATAGCTGGATGTTAAAATTATTTACGATCAGTTAAAAAGATACTGACCAGTATATGTGAGATAAACTTTCAGACATCAGGATGATGACCAATGAACTGCTTTGCTCTGAGTGATACTGGAAACATCAAGGCCACCTTCCTCAGTGTTCTGGAATTAAGTCAATAACACATTTCTTCTGTAAACTTTAAAGAATTCTTTATTTAGATGTCTCACTCCAAATCATAAGTATGAATCATGAAGTACAACAGTTTTCTTTATGTAAAACAAGTCAGCTATCCAGATAAGTGTTTACTAGTCATATATTTTCTGTCTTTGATTTGCCAGGATAGATAAAAGTGTTTTTAGGAGTTGACTAAAAATCATGGCATTTTTTGCTTATGTCTTGCAAGAATGACATTTCCATTTTCTGCAGATGTAGTCTACAGCCACAGTATTTTCTTTCTGTGGATGCACAGAAAGTAGAAATTTTTGCAAACAATATCTAAACTGACAAATGCACAAAGGTAGTGCCGCATGGAAAAAGCACATTAATGTTTTCTGAATTAGTTGTGCCATGACAGAGCAGACTGACATTGCAATCATAGAAGTACAAAGTTCTAAAATTATTTAAGTAGTGTGGATCTTATTCATTTGTGATCACTTCAGTTGCTACCTGGATATAAGTATGACAGTAAAATCTGTATGACCTTAAGGCATACAACCTTTGCCTGTCATCCTCAATATTTTCATCAGGAAAATATTTGCCAACAGTGAAATTTATTCACAGAGTGAGAGAATCTCTGTGTGGCTGTTGAAAATACTGGTTAATTCATTTCTTGAAAGTGGGTGTCAAGTAAGGGAGAGAATATGATGAGTAAATCTGTTTATCTTCATCAGATAGGGCAAGCTTCTGTACATTTATTGTACAGCGTGGCTTTTTGAAGAGATTAGTGGATATCTGTCTCAGTGTGAGAAAATATACAGAATTTTAAATAATAATAATAATAATAATGCACTCCATATTACTGCAGTGGAAAGTGGAACTTAATGAGTTAGAGTGTCTTGAATTAGTTGAAGATTCTCATTAACTGCTGTTTATAAAGCTTTCAAAAGTCTATTTTATTTTCACCCTTTTATATATCCACTCCTCTGTTACTGGAAATTAATAAACAATAAAATTCAGAATATACTCATTCTGTTATCAGACTACTAAGGACAAACTTTGCAAAATTCCCAGAGCTTTGTCACCATCTTTGATCTTGCTAGGGCTCAGAGGAAGCAAATTAAAAATGCATTAGTTTTAGCTGCAAACAGAGGGGTGCAAGGGGATCAATTTTTGTCAAATGGAAATGACAAAATCAGTAGAGGGAAATAAATGATTTTTGAGTTTTGAAGAGGTTAGCGGAGATAACGGAAAGTGAAATAGAATTAGTATTAAAAATAACTGTAACAGTTATAATTGAGGTGCAGTTCTGGTTTTCATACATCTCCTTTCTGTTGTTTTGGGCTGCAGAATGTCCTCTGCTCAGAGAGAGGTGGGGACTGGTTTTTTGTTTCCCTTGGCAGCAGGAGGGCTGGCAGTGGATAAGAGGAGAGAAAGGAGAATATCAGTGGCAAGAGAGCATGTGGTGTCCTGGGGAAGCTTTAGCTAGCTGAACCATTTACAGAACGAACCCTTCTGGTAAGTTTAGAAGGATGAGGAGCTGTCTATTTTGGTGGGATCTGCACTGTCTTGGGTTTTCGGGGGTGTTGAAGCACTCCTGCACAGTGACTGCTCCTGCACAACTCCTGAATGCCAAATAAAGCCCATGCATTTTGATAAATACCAGAATAGTAAGACGTTCAAAGCAGTGATATTTAAAGCCTCCATAAATTTTATAAGTTTTGCTCCTACAAAGACAAGCTTTTGGCCATTTGTAGATGGCTACACTAAAGCATAAAGATGGTCAAGGTCACAGTGTTGCCTTGTTGCATTTGCTGTATTTGAAAGTACAACACATCTCAGTTGATGCTGCCATGATAAGCTTGTCTTACCCATAAAAGAGTAGACTTTGTCTATTTGGCTTTGTCTATTTGGACTTAATTCTGCTGTGGCATCAGAGAAGGGATATTTTGTCTTCAGTTTTCGTTTCAAAATATTATCATTGTGCTCAGTTATTACTGCTGCTGTAGATTTCTGGTGGCATATGTCTTTATGCTGACAAAGTTGTTACAGGATAAATACAGAATATAATGACAAAAGGGATGTAGAGCAGCCTCTTTTCTTGAGGCTTGTGCTGCTATAGTTTTTACTACATTATTCTACTCCTTCACAATAATTCATAAGCTTTTTCTCTGTTTTGGTAATATCAAAGGGAAAGAAAGCTACAACTAATCACAACAGACAAAAATTACTTATCAGTCTAACCTGACTCAGCTATGCCAGTCAGGCTGCCATCTGGCAAACTTACTGTCATGCATTTGGCCTGCTAGGTCCTTATAAGAGTACTGAAGAGAGCTGAGGTCTCCATGCCTTGCAGAGATGGGTAGGAGATTGCACAGATCATGTTTTTTTTACAGTGGGATGGGGAAGGGAGACTGGCAGTGCAAGGGAACTCCAGGGCCTGGAGACTGGATGCAGGAAAGAGACTGAAAAGGAGAAATCAGGTTTTCTGCCAATTACTTCAAGAGAGAAGCCTGTTCAGATGGAAAAAGAAAAAAAAAAAAATCTTGAGATTACGTACTGGGAAGAGATACTGAAGAGGAAGACTGCATTTAGATTAAAATTCCCTTGGAAGATAAATTTCAAAGACAGCAAAGGCTGGAAGGTCTGTGAGAAGTGATCAAGAAAGCTGAGCATGATGATGGAATGCAGAGCCTGAGTATGGTATTTAAATGGCAAACTGTAATTGAAGGACTAGGTCTGGTTTAAAATGAGATTAAGATTGAAATTTAGAGGTAGAATGGGAGGCCAGAAAAGTAGGGATGTAGCCTAGGAAAGGAAAGCAGGCATGAGAATGGAGAAAGAGGCAAGAAAAAACTTGAAATTAGGACTGGCCAAAATGATTTCACAAGAAGGGTGGGCAGAGCATAAAATCTGAACACAGGATTTTGGAATTTTACTGGGATTTTTTTTCCTATTACTATGTATCTATAAAATCTATAGGCAAAATATTTGCCTTGTCTTCCTGTTATGCAGTTGTACAGACCCTGATAGCTACTAGTGACTATTTTAGCTCAAGCTGATGAGGTG